CTCGAACCCACTGTCTTTCAAGCTAATTTTGTTTTATTTGATGGCACGCTTGTGTACCACGCCAAGACGTTGGTCGTAAGTGGTGTTCATTTTTCTAACTACTCCAGTGTTCCGATGAGTTGAACAGAAAAGCCAAAACGATTGCTGGTTTCTGATTGCTTCGGTTCTGGTGAGTGTGTATCTAGTGATTCGAATCCATGTCGTTTGTATTGGGCGTTTTTTTATTTCCCATGTTGGCTACGCCGTAATATGCAACCACTTCCCTGTTTTATTGTGATTTTGAGTGTTTAATGATGTCTTCCTCACCCGTCACGCCATGACCCAGTTTCAACCACACGGCCATTTTGCAACACAGTTCGTGACCCTCGGCGTCACCCGACTGACTATATGAGCATTCTGTTCAACTGTTAAGCTAGGATTTATTACCGTTATTATCATTATATTGTTACGTGATTTGTTTTTACCTTTAATATGTGTAATATCTTAAGTATCTTTATTGTAATTTGTATATACCAATTCGTATATACCGAGGAAACGACCCCGATTGAAGGTCATGTATTTTATGACGTCACCAATTCGTGTGTAGGTACTGCTTCTAGATCTGTGCCAATCAAAACAACGGACCAGGGTTTCAGATGGGTTCAACTACATGTATTACGTGTAAGCGACTAAGCGTCCTGCCAAATATTCATCAAACAATCATGTTTTACTCATTATTAATTTCGGACACTTTATTATTTCATGTGTACATATGCTCGTTCATTTAACAAATTCTATTTTGAACGTTTCGCAAAAATAATTAACCTAGTTGATACAAATATTTAAAAATGCCCCTAATATTATTATTAATACAAGACACTTCACGATGAGAGTCTTTTGCAGTCAGTAATATTTGCGAACATTTTTGTTCACTATTGGCGATCCGTTCCGCTAGGATTATAGAAATCAATTTTGTGTGTGATTTCCAGTTTTTTCACGTATTATTGCATCTGTAATTTTTTTTGACTTGGCCTATTTCCCTCAAACTTGGCAGGCATGTCACACCATCACCCTAGTTATTCGGTAATATCCGGAAAACAATATTTGGCCTGCCGTTGCCATAGTAACAGCCAAATCAAAGAAAGCTTAGAAAAACTCTCGTGTGCTGTGAGTATTAGAGACACAGTAAAAATTAATTCAAAATTACTTGTACTTAAGATATTGATGAAAAAGCTGAAAACTAATTATGCAAATCAGAAAATTAAAATGAACAGAGTGTAAAACTAATAAAGTCTGCGCAATGTAACAGACCATCTAGGTACCAAGTTTCATTGAAATGTGATCAGAACCAAACAATTATTAATTATTATGGAATTTTTAACCCAAAACTGATCATATTTGTACATTGTCCTCGAGCATCTATGTACAAAGTTTCATTGAAATGTGATGATTAGTACTTGAGATATCAGTGTGATAGTTGAAAATGTATTAATTATGCAAATAAGTTAATATGCACAAATATTTATCCCAAAACAATCGTTCTCTGCATAGTCCTTGAGTATCTATGTTTCATGTTTCATTGAAATATAATGCTTACTACTTGAAATATCAAAAGTTGAAAATAATTTATTATGCAAATTAGGTAATTAATATGTACTGATATTACACTAAAAACTACTAGGTCTGTGCAGTGTCCTATAACATAAGTTCAGAGCATCTATGTACCAAGTTTCATCAAAATTCAATGAGTGGTTCTTTAGATATCAGTGGAACAGTCATGAAACAGCTAAAAATTAGCTAAGTATCATACAAATTAGGTGATTAATATGCACGGATTTTACCTAAAAACTAATCAAATCTGCGCATAAATTCAGAGCATCTATGTACCAAGTTTCATCAAAATTCAATGAGTGGTTCTTTAGATATCAGTAGAACAGCTAAAAATGAGCTAATTATCGTGCAAATTAGGTAA